CAGCAGGAACTAAAGTTTATCTAAATTTTCTGGGACAATCATCCATGGTACTGTCAAAGGGGTTAATATCTTTCCCCCTTAGTGTAAAATATGCTCCTCAGTAGTGGCCTTTTTTTTGAAAAATAAAGCTCTTAATTTAGGACTTAATTAATAGTTACTGCCTCAAGCCCTGATAAAACACCATAAATACATCAGATATCTTTTAATTCCTAAGGGCTTTTGCCTAATCTGCCACTTAAAAGCCAAGTTTCTAATTAGTTTGCTTGTTGCCTTGGTTTGGGTTTCTTGTTGTCAGAGTATCGTGGGGGTTTTAGTGTTTTGTATGTATTTCTGAGAGTTGACTCAAACCAAAATGAGCTCAATGTGGAACTCAGTGCTGTGGCAGTCTATTTGCCGCTTTGCTGTTTTGCAAAGTTTGTTAATTTGTTGGCAAAATTATTACTGTGGAAGCAGCTGTAGGCAGAATTTGCATAGCAAATGATAATGCAAATCACAGAAATAGAGTACAAGACAAGTGTCTCGCCTGTGTTTGGGCAATCAGAGGCCAGACTGCCCAGACACTAGGGAGAATGGTAATTTCCCTGGACATTCTTCTAATAAAAACAAAAATCACTGTGCATGTGACAATGGACAAAACAATAATTCTGAAACCAATTCATGAAGCAATACAGCCATCCTCCTCTTCTTTGTAAATGATGGGATATTAAATTTTGTGTCCAATTTATTATTAGATAACTATGTCAAGGGTATCCTTTCTCTTTGCTCTTTGCTGCTTTTGCCATCTGAATTTTCCTGATCTGTTCAAAAACATGTTTCAGATATCGACGAATGCCTTGAAGGTGGTTTGGGAACCTGTGGCCAAACCTGTATCAATGTTCCAGGATCCTACATCTGCTCCTGTCTGCCTGGCTACACTTTGGGTATTAACAAATGGTCTTGCTATGTGAATGGTAAGGTTCTTTTCTTTTCTGATGACTAAAAAAGAGCATTAGAGATTTAGTTAGCATTAGTTTTCAAAGAAGTGAACCATGCCTGGCTGGTCACTACTGGACGGCAACTGGTGTGCTGTGGTTCCCTGATGGGAAAGACTGCCCCTTCTACTGTGTGGGTAAGCAGCAAGGCCAAAGGTGGGTGCCACAGAAGAGTGATGGTGAAGAATGGAAATCATGGTGGTGGGAAGATGAATGAACATATGAAAACAAAAATATAAAACTAAACAATGACTTCCGGTTTAGTAGACGTACTCTCTCTGTGTGCTTGGAACTGTAAACTCTTATGCCTTACTCTTACTCTTAGTCCGTACTACTTCCAGGAAAACACAGCAGCACACAAGATTTTGCTACCTTTGCCTCTTTCAGTGTGTTGGCATTGATGTCTTCCCAGTGTGTCTAGGTTCTAGGGACATTGCTGAGAAATCGTAAGAAGTAAGCCCTTATTTTGGATTGGCCTGTTGGCAGTTTCTTAATAAACATGAGTGCTATTGTAAGTTCTTTCTCTCTCTTGCTCTGTCCTCAGCGTATAAATTGATTTTTGAATGTGTAAGATGTATTTAAATTTTAAAAGTTTTTAGCTCTTCCAAGAGGAAGATATTCACAGTTATGGCCTTCAAATAGCCTTCATTTTGTCCTCAACTGATGCGACCCATGGGAAAAAATCCAGCTGGATTTTATTGATTGGTTTAACTCTATATTGCATCTACAGTATGATGTGGGAGTGCTCTGAAGTTCACCTCTTACCTCTCCACCTTGGTTTTCCAAATGTCTGGTTTTGGCTCCTGTCTGGAATATGCTACAGCTCCAGGAGCTCAGGTTTTCTTTTTCTGACTAACGTTTGCCTGGGACTCTCGCTAATGCAGAGATGGGATGTGACAGGGTATGTTTCTGACCTACTTGACTCCCATGTACGTAGCTTTTGGGACCATAAATATAACAAAAAGTATTCTGTGCAGCTCCCAAACTGGCACCAACACGGTCACTTCAGCTCCTAGAATCATCATTGTTGACAGCAACATGTGACTCACAAAGACCCAAGCTGGATTTTTTACAGTCCTGCCTAGACACCTCTAGCCCCTTAAATAGATGATTTTTTTTTTAATAAAATGTTTTATAAGCTCTTCAATTCTGAAGTGAAGTGAAAACAAACATTACCTCAGTGATACATGTACACAGGTATCTTTCAAAGAACAAACCTACCTTAATATCAGAGGACTTCAACTTTCTTTTTAACATTATTGCTAACATTTATAACAGCAGTAGAAAGTGAGTGATGGTTCAGGAGCTACTGTGATGGATAAGGAACCCTCATGCTAGGTATAAACCCTTCTGTAGGGCGTAAACCAAGTGAAATACCCTCATGTTTTAAAGACAGGAAGGTCTTTGATGTAGGTGTTGTTTACCTGTTCATTAAATCGCTGATAAAATTAAGACCCAAATCTGACTGGTGCCTCTGCAATCAAAATCAGATTTGTTCGGTCCCTGTTCCATTTACAGCCCTCATTTATGGATGCCTGATAGGAAATTCAGAGACTGGAAAGGATGAAAACAAAGTCTATAAATGCTCTTGGTCAACTAATTGGCAAAAATGCAGGCAGTACAGCTGTCAAATTCCTGAGATAAATCAACCTTGCTACACTTCACCGTTCATTTACCACTTACGTAAAGCAAGGCTTCATAGTTTAAATATTCTCACATGGGGTTGCTCAATGCAAATAGCAGCAGAAAAAGGGAGTCTCTCAAATCCTAGAAGCAGCTGTTCTAACTGGGTAATAGCCTGAAAACTTGAGATACAAAACAGTCTGTTAGTATGGAAACAGAGTACTGATCATCTTCCTTGTGAACAGAGGAAAATTACATCTTGGGTACTTGTCAGAACTTCCTGCCTAACTTGCTCTTCACTTGGAGAAATCAAAATTAGTCTCATTCCTCTGCTGTGAAAGGGGTTGAATCAAACTGCCTTACAACAATGATGAAGGTGGAGCATCTGGCTAAAATTTGTAGAAGTGATGTTTGTTGCGCCTTACAACCATGATGAAGGTGGAGCACCTGGCTAAAATTTGTAGAAGTGATGTTTGTTGAGTTTAAAGCCTCAGGTTTCATGCTAATAGTAAAGATATTTAATTGAAACTTTGCAAACTTGGTCAATAAAACTAGTTTAATTTTCAAAAGTATATGTGCAAGAAAACCGATGATAGTGAATCTTTGATGACATCCATCCCTGATAAACGGAGAGTTGCTCTGCATTGCAGGAAGATCAAGTCAGCAAGTGATTAGACAGGCTTGAAAGCTGTCATTCTGTTGGATCTATATCAATAATTGCATTTCAGAGTCACTTGGTTAGAGCATTACTTGTGTGCCATGATCTGTTTTTTCAGGCAACCATTTTATAAATCCCCACCATTACCACCACAATGGGCTTTCTTCTTTGGATGTTGTTTTAATGGTAAATTAAAGACTAGGCTGTACACACCCAAATTTTATTTATTTATTTATTTATGAAAAACAAATGTTTCTTTTTGAAATGAAGGCTAAAATTTGACTGGTTACATAAAAACTCCTTTCCTCCGCTACACACTTGATAGACATCCATAATATTCAAATTGCCTAAATGAAAACCATTGTGGTTTGGAAATGCAGTTAAGGTTCCTCAGGCAGGTTCCCCTGCCCTATGGTGATACCCTAAAAATAACAAAGATGACTTGATAAAACTGTGTTAGTGTAATCTGCAGCCCCAACCATTATGCCCTACTAATTTTACTTCCATACTAAAGACCTGGTTTTAAGGCTACATTAAGGCTATTTGGACCATCCTAGTTGCTCATCATTTTCAACCTTAATTGGATTTCTAGAGTTTGGGGCATAACTGGAATGCCTTTCATTTTAACATATTTTATGTTAAGTTACCGATACGCTCTTTCCTTTCACTCAGTATGAACACAGTTTTTGTGTGGAAGGAGTTGTTGCTGTTGAGCTGTAGGAGTTTTAAGTACAAGTCTTTTGGGTTCCTTCAGCCCTCTGCATCACAAGAAACCTCCACAGTTTCTAGCTTCTTCCTTTGTCCTGTCTTGGGATCTTCAATTTCCCTGTTTGCATAGTTAAAGTGAGACTCCAGACCACCTACCTCTCTGTGATAAATTCTTACTATAGTGCAATAGTTGGAAGTAGTCTTCAACTTGGAGATGCATCCATGGAATAATTCTTCCAACCTCTGTTAGCATGCATGCAATGGTTCTTCTGAATTCTGACTAGGCTGTAGGATTTGCGACTAGTGGTAACAACCACTGCAATCTCAGTTTCATGACTCAGATTTTTGATGTAATTTTCAGCATCAGATGTGAAAGGACCATTACATTTATATCTTATATTCTCTGTGACATGTGTGGAAATTTATCATTAAAATATGAGAGAGATGGTTAGATCCTGAACTTTCTCTTTGGCTAGTATAATACTGATGAGAACTTAATGCAGCAAAAGTGCAATACTTATCTATTAGTTGGTCTCTTTTTGTTTTCTCCACATCAGACCCTGCACCATTCCTACTTTTTAGCCATGGAACTGCCATCTTTAGAATTGACACTGAAGGGACCAATCACGAAAGGTTGGTGGCTGATACTGGTCAGTCAACGCTTATGGATTTTCATTATACAGAAGAGAAAGTGTATTGGGTAGACTCTGAAAGGCGACTACTTCAAAGAATTCACCTGAATGGCACAAAACGAGAGGTAAGTAATCAGTTCTCTGGAATTCTCCAAGCTAATGGGTATAAAACCCTCCATGGAAACCACTTGCTTTTTAGGTACAATTCTGCCATTCCTGTTCATTGATTAGCACTTAAGACTTATTTAATAGTTTTTGCTGTTGTAATAGTTATGGTCCTGAGTCTAGGCTGTTTTACTGGCATTCACAGTACATTTAGTATTTTCTGCGGATCAAGTGAAGGGGAGTTAAAAATGAAGGAGAGGAAATTCAGACAAACTAAAGCTTCGAAGACAATAATGTTTCTACCACAGTTTTAAATTAATTCCTGGCATTATGGAAGTTTATCTTCCAGATTACTGTAACTCAAACTGGCACAAATGGTATGAGAAGAATGTGCTTGAATTCTTACTCATTTTTTCTCAAACCTTTTATTGGTTTCTATGGTTGCATAAATGCTTCTTTTAGCACTTCATCCTTTGTTCAGAAAAAGCTGTGCAGTTCATTGCATTTGTCTGATTAAGAAGGGCAGACAGGCTGTTGTGGCTGAACTTTAGTGCTGTGAGAGCCTTCTTTTGTTTGAGAGAGATTGCCAGTGTTCCTGTACCCATGTTGAGTCTTCACTGATGTATTTTACACTGATTTTTAAGGACCAGTGTCCAGCAACCATGTGTTAGGAAGTCTTCCACCTGTAAGGGTACAGGTCTGGGCGCTTCATAGCGTGCCAAATGCAAGAAATTGTAGTTAAAAGATTAATCCAGTGTATTTCTCATGGAGAGCAATTTCCACTTTCACAGGAGGTCACTCAATGCAGAAGGAGTATGTGTAAGTATAAAGACCAAATGAAAGTGATTAAAAAATAAGAAAGAGAAATATCTACAGGTCTGAGAGAAAATGAAACAGGCAAAGGAATGAAGTGGGAAGCTTCAGTCTGGCACTCTGTTCCCTGTATTGAAAGTCAAGTATATTTTTTGTTGTCTTTTTTTTTTTTCGTTTACAGAGATTATGTTACATAGACAAAGGCATTTCAGGATTTGCTATTGACTGGATAAATCAAGACATTCTCTGGGCCAATAGACAAAAAGCAACCATAGAAGCGACAGACATGAATGGGAAGAAACGCCGAGTTCTCCTAAGAGATGTTGGTCATCCCACAAGGATCATCATTGATGCCGCGCAAAGGTAAATTTAACTGCGTTAGTGATATCATTGAAATGGACTCAAAATATGCACAGTGCTATGATTGTGGTTTATAGGCTGCGGGGCTAGTCTGTGCACAGTGTGTTATCTATAGACCAATACCTCCTTGAACTTTGACAAAAGAGGATAAAAGATTAATAAGAATATAAAATATAAATAGAGAAGCGCATGAGAAAAGCCCACCAAAGTCTAATGCAGAATCTATACCTCTTGATCATCAGCAAAAATTTTGCTAGTGAGGGGAGCTGAGAGAAAAGAGACATTGCTGGTCCATTCTCACAGGCAGCAAAGTTTCAGGGCAGCAGAAAGCAGGATTGGAGCAACAAGGGGAATGATGCCTGCAAATGTTGGGATTGCCTTGTGCTCGAGACCTGGCATACTTAGAATATAAATTAGTATGTTTTCTGAAAAAAAGATCTAAACTTACAGTTTTGTTCCTGTTTCCCTTGTCTCTTTGCCAGTTGCTCTGAATATTGGTTCTGAATCTACTGTTGCTACTTTGTGTCACTAGTAATTTGTCCTTCATAAAGGTGCTTCTTTCTGCTTCGAGCTATTTACAGAGAACCATGCTCACATAAGAGATTTGGCCTCTAGAAATATCAATATGGATTGTCACAGTGGTCTCTCCACACTAATTTCTCTTTACACATGAACCTCTGCCATTAAAGTTGCAAAAATATAAGCTTGAGGAGACTTCGAGCTGCTTCTGCTTTGTACAGCAAAAGCATGTTTTTGTTGCCACTTTTGATTTGCAGTAAAGTTGCTCAGCAGTGTGTGAAACTATTTTAATATTAAGGCTTATGTGCCCTTTCCTAGTACACTTATACATCAACCAATCTTCTGATGCTAGTAGCATTACTAGTATTCTTTGTAGCCTTATAATTTGGGTGGGATTTAAAGGCCTGAACATCAGCCTATATAATTTTTTTTTTTTTTCTGATTTGCTTCTGAATGTAGTATTTGCCAATCTCGGAAAGATTCACAAGTCCTCAAACCCACTGTCAAATGCCAATGAATCACATGTTACAAGTAGCATCATAGGGATATATTTACTGAACTTAGACGAAGTTTGGGAAGACTCAGGTGCCTATATTCACCTAGGTGTGATTCACCATGCATAAAAGCTGTACTCGTGTGCTTACAGCAGGCCAATAAGGCAATAATGAACTGTAAAGAAAGTAGGCTCTAGGAAGTCTAACATAATTTTTATGCCCTATGGAAATTTACTTGTATGAAAACTCCGAGGGCTCTATTTTTAAAGTGAAGTGAATTAAAAACCCCAGCATGTTTACGTGCACAGGCATAAACATGAGTTAAATCTGGTATTAACAATGTCTTCCTTCAAATGTGTGCAACTCAAGTAATGAAGGTCAATGTGACACCCTAGGGTTTTTCTCAAAACAGAGTTTTTCTCAAAAAGTGTGTCTGGATATTAGCAGTGTTAGGATTATTTTCCTAGTAATAATATAACTATTGCTGTAAGATCAATTTATTTTGTAATGGTGTTTAGAAATGCTAAAAAATAAGGATTAAGACTAAGGAAAAATAGAGGGCAATACAGTGAAGGCTGGCAATTACTCAAGATGGTTTCTAATCTTCATTCTTCTTCTGTCTTCCTGTTTTTTCGTATCATATCCTGTCCCTACAGTGATTTGCAGAAGTTGCTCACAGAGACTATAACCACCTTTGTTTCTTAGTTTCCTTATCTGTAAAAAGTAAATCCTAGCATTTGTCCAAACTTCCAGAGTAGTGACATTTCATAAATAACAGGGGCTTATAGAAATGCAAGCACATATTATTAAAGTATTTAAAACTGTCGGTATAAATTTGGGCTGTCCTTCTGGAAACATGTTTTCACCTATGCGTTAGTATCCTATGATAACTAAAGACTATGTAACAGTGAGGAAAAGCTGCGAGGCAGGGCCTGATTCTTCCTACTAGTTTAGTATATTCCCTTGCCAGTGAGATCTAAGCCATTTTGGGGCCTTCAACAAATGATTAACATAAATGTAGTAAAGCTAGCTTTATGCTACATTGTTTTTCAGAATATAAATTCTGAAATTTTGTGAAGACAATGCAGCATGATGATGCTTCTTGGAATTTGTGTGCATGAGAAACCCAAGCAAAGAATCTAAACCCAAATATTAAAAAATAAAAGATACATGAATAAGGATAATTTACTATTTTGGAAGGGCTTTTGTTAACCTTAGTCACATTAGTAAATCCGGGTTCTGATCCATGAATAACTTGACACATAAGTAGCTTCAGTGCATAACTCTTTTGAGTATTGGAGCTGTGTTTTGACTGTGTGTTAATTTAATGACAGCATAGTGTGGCTGCTATAACCAGCAAGAAGGTAGAAAGAAATGAGAACAATAATAGAAATGGTGTTTTTACGTTAAGCACTTAAGTGATGTGTTACACTAGAGTTTCTGGAGACAGATTCCTCCCCAGAGGCAGAGGGCAATGCGTATCTGCCTCAAAGATGTGCCTTTCCCCAAGTTTGCAGGGGTTCCCTCCAGCTTTGAGAGGTTATTCCAGTTTCCTTCTCCAACTGCATGGCCGAACAAAGCAGAGAGACAAGCGCTAGTGCTTCGTGGTTAAGCTGGGCTGATTCCTGCTTGACCTACATGAGAGAAGTTTCTAGGATCTCACTGCTTCCTGAACAGAGTCTTACAGTCTCTGATAGAAACACATTTATTAAAATAAGAAAACAACTGTAACACAACTTTTGTGGTAATATTGCTTCTGTTAAACAGGCAACAATTTGTTGTAAAAAGTTATTTCCGTTCTTAATAGAACCATGTTAAGGGGAGATGTAAATGGGGCTTTCCTGAAATGGTTGAGTACATATTAAGCAAGTCCCTTGCTTTATTATCAGTTTTGGTTCTGAAAGCACTGTGGTAAGACTGACAAATTCCTTATACAGCAGCAACTAAACAAGGAGTGTGTAGCAGTGATGTGATGTTACAAATGTGGGGGGTTTTTCTGTTGTTGGGTTTTGGGGTTTTTTGGTGGGTTCTTTTTTTCCCCAAAAAAATATGCCTCTCTTGCCTGCAGGTTATTATTTTGGTCTTCAGATGGTACAGTTTCCAGCATACACCGAGTGTCCCTCGGTGGAAGTGATGTGATAAATGTTTTAAGAACCACAGAAAAAATCAAGGCCATCTCACTAGATTTGGTTGACACAAGGCTCTACTGGATTCAGCATGACCACGGGAAAGAGATTTCCCATATTGGATCATGCGACTATGATGGTGGAGCTGTTCGTTTGCTCAAAAATTCTATCCGGTGAGTTTTCCTGAGCTTGTCAGAAATAAAACACTCATTTCCCAGGGATGCAGTTAAGCTCTCTTCCTCATTCTCCCTTTTATTTTGTCAGTTCATAACACGATAAGGAGTAGAGAGTGTAGTGCAAATGGCCTGTAACCGTAAATCTAAAATTACTGATAGGAAAATGGGAGAAAGTCAGTATTGTAAGGGTAATACCACCACTCAGTACTCTCCATCTTCCAAACTTTCAGCAAATGGTAACTACTTCATCCTTAGAAATCTTCTCTGAGCATTTATTAGTGGCTTTTTTCTGCAGATAGAGAAGCCAAAACCAAAGAGATTAAATGATTTGTCCAAGGTCACAGTGGGTGAGCTCAGCTGTCGGGTCTTCCCTATCCTCCTCTAAGGCCCTTGTCCTCCCCAGCGGCCAGGCGGGAGGCTCGGATAACCCCCTGTGCTCAGGCCCAGGCGCCGGCAGGCCTGGTGAAAACTGTCCTACGCAACAGACTTGCTCCCCTCTGCCCGCCGGCGCGGGGGCTGAGCACGGCTGAGGGGGCTGTCAGGCCCCTGTGCCTTTGGGTGCCCTTCACCTTTGGCCCTCGTGCTGTGCAGTGGCGCAGATGCTCCGTGGTGGGCACGTTTTCGGTGAGGTACCGAGAACGAGGTGACCTCCTATCACTGCGGTTTCTGTCAGTATGGCTGGATTGCCAACCGCAAAATGAGGAAAATACCGGCCTGCTGGTTTAAATACGCAGCACACCATTTGCACGTGGCGAACACAGAGCTGGTTTCTGCCTACCTTGCCAGCTGTCACATTGGATTTTTCCTTGCCCTTTTCCCCTTTCTCCCTTGAGCTGGCTGGTGTTCACTATGGCAGCCACACGTTCCCTTTGAGTCTGGATGATACGGGTTCTCCTTTTTCCACCGGGAATATGTACTGGAAAGTGGAGACCAAAAATCCCACTTTCAGTATTTTTTCTGTTTTCCCTCTTACTTAAAACTGGGCCCGTTTGTGGTTCCTGCTGGCCGCTATAACCGACCAGCGGATGGAAACTAAATTCCTGCGATAGCAGAAGCAGCAAGACGGATTTTAGGAACGCCCTACTCCTACCCCTCCATCTCCATCCTGATTTCCTGGGGCAGTCAGAAGCATCAGAGCAGGCATTAGAAATTGGGAAATGGGGGAACTGCTCTGGCCTACATCCTTCAACAAAGCGAGTGTCCATTTTAGTCGCTGGCTTCCCCAGAAGCAGGGTGATGCCTAGCCTTTCTCTGTCAATTGAGTCAGTCCCGAATGAAGCTCATACGAACTGTGAGAAATGCAGGTTATCCATTTTGCTTCTATTTCTTGCAAATCTGCAGGATTCTGGGTGCTGGATTATTTGTGAACGTCTCTGGCACCTCATCTGATTCCCATACATATAAGATAATATAAGATCTTGACTGAACTAGATGCTCAGAAAACGTATGAGTGACTAAATATATAGGGATCAGGTAATGTGCCACTTTGTGTTATCTTCTCTTTGTTGTAGACATCAATTGCTTGGTATGTCTCTCTTTGCTGAGCACCTGTACTATTCGGAGTTGAAATCTGGTATGATATGGAGAGCCAACAAGTATACTGGAGAAGTTGTAGTCACAATTAGCCTGAAGCCATCATTTTTTCCACCACTGGAGATAAAAGTGGTGCATCCCTTTAAACAGCCAGGTGTAAGAACAGATCCTCAGGATTCTGGTAAGTAAACTGTAATGATAAAGTTGTATGTGTGAGAATAATAACATCATACACTCTGATTTTGCACAGTAATAATGTTCTTCAGCAAAATTCCAGGCCTCAGTGAAGTCAAAAAAGTTTCCTTTAACATCAGTGATCCACAGTTCCACTTGGTGTGTATAACTCCAGCTGGAGTATCAGGCTGGAAGTGTGCTGAGCGTGAGCTGCTCATTTCATTAATCTGAAGGCATATGCAGATAAACGTGATCTTCTCCTTCTCTTCCCTTTGTTTGCACAAAGATATGTTTATACTGTCCTGCTAAATGCACAGAGCATGCAGCTTTTTAATTCACCATGTAGATCATCAAATGTCTGCTCCCTTCTCTAAATTTTATTCTAATGTGCATCTAAACATCTCTGATGATTATGGCACTAAAGGATTTGAAATGCCTAGTGTGTCCTACAGTGATACTGTGGATGTCTCAGCTTTGCTGTGAAATGGCTGGATTAGAGCCAGCCTGTTTTAGACAGACTTGAAGTTGCCATAATAACTATGAAATAAGAGCCTTGGGTCTCTTTAGTCGATATCAGTTGCAGCCTACAGGTTGAGGTGGTCATGTCACTGCCTTTTGCTGTAGGTCACAAAATGAAGGTAGTTGACTTTGGATAGCTCGCTCTCCTTGAGGATTCCTGCCGAGGCAGTAGGAAGTGGGGGGTGTCGAGGGGAAATAATGTCCTGTTCTCTGATCTCTGGAAATCAGACATAGAGTATTCTTGCTTTAATGGAATAGCTTTTGTCACCAGTTTTGCTTGGATATGGACAACTGAGCAAACAGCATAGAGGCATTTGTGTGTTGAGCAATGGTTGCAGAACGCCCAAGGGAAGATGGCCATGGGTTCCCAGAGGTATAGGTGGTATAAAGACATGAGAAGAAAGTGGTGTTTGTTTATATGAGCAAAAATGAAACTGTAAATATCTCTCTTGAACCATTTCTAAATATCTACTACAAAACAGGCTTTTGTCTGTCTTCATGCCAACCAACAGCTTTATATGGTACTGTGCTGTCTCTCCTTCCTGAAGCCTGGTCTGAGTGGGAAAAGCAAAATCTTCAAGGGAACTTTCACCTTCAAATGCTTTGTTTGCAGTGCAGAGCTGTTGAGATGCAGAAGAGAAAGTGTTCCTGGAAATCAAGCTTATTGTTGTAAACACCAGGATCCTCTATTGAGAGACAATACCTGTTTTGTGCTTGCTTTGGTGGAAACAGTCATCCTGGCTGACACGTTTGGTGCTCTCACACAGAGTAACTAAGGAAGGATACATTTGTGGTGCAGACAGTGGCATGTCCACATGTCTCAGGGTCGTTACAATGAGATTTGGAAGGTCTCATGAGGCCTCCTTGGGTGTCTGTCACCCTGTCTGGATATGCATGAAGATGGAGAGGAAGAAACAGTGACCAAGAAAGATAGTTCATGGTAGTGGTCTCTTGAACCTCAGGGGCTAATTGGTTGTGTTACATGTGTCCTCTCCACAGGAGTGTGTAGCATAATTTCAATGACTATGGGCACTTAGCTTTTATTCTTCTCTCAGAAGATTAACTCCACTTGCTACTTTCTGGTGTTTCTCTTTCCACAGGAAAGAGGGTTTCTCCACCTTTATTAATAAATAAATTACCAGTGGTTTTAAATGCCTTGCAGTATATACACCTATATTTTTCAACATGTTTAGTAAATTTTTGTATGACAGTAAGTGTTGTCAGCAGTTCACCTTTTTTAAATTCCAAAAACCTTCTTGTAAAAATGTCTGGGAAGTGGTGGAGTAGAAAGAAGCTTAACAGCCTGAATCCAGATGAACCTTTTGGACTTCGCATGTATGTTACTTGGCTTATCCAGTGCAAGAACTGGGATGAAAGGAGGACTAATGAGCCTGGAGTACAAATGAGATTTATAGCTGATCTTACAACAGAGAAATCTGGAGATAAAAGCATACCTAGACTAATTGGATGCTCTGTACAAGCGAAGAAAATGTATGTTGCAATGTAGTGTCAGCTGTGAATTATCAAGCCTTCTTTAAAGCAGATAGCAAGTGAGTTCATTCAGATGAAAAGGGAACTGACGGCAAGTGCTCAACTGACATGATTTGATTTTTTTACTGGAATTTGGATTATTTATTTTACTACTTAAATTCCTCATGTCCCCTCTTCCCTTTCTCTTTCAGAAGACTTTCCTGGATTGGTCAGGGCCAATAAGTACAGAGAAGACCATTAATTCAGCTATGGGTTTGCTATAACCCCACACAACAACTTTAGTATGGCAGTACTACCTCTGGAAGATGGCCTTTAATTTACCTCAACTCTCTTTGACAGCTAATCCCAGATTTGATGACAGTATGTGTATTTATAAATGCCTACCGGAATGTTCTTCACACTTTTATTAATGACTCATAAAATACCTTAATTACCTTAAAATCTCAAAGACTGCCTCTGGAATTTTTTTTAAGTATCTTCTCTGACAGATTAATAATACTCAGTACACTCAGAATATTTTTTTTGAGAAATTATGTTGTGTTTCTTTCCAGTGTAAAACACCAGCATCAGGCTTTTATCTGAGAACATCTATTTCCATATAGGAGAGGTGACGGGAGGGGAAAAAAAACCCCCAACAAACAAACAAACTAGAAGTATGGTTTGTAGGGGTTGTTCTTCCGGAAAAGATTACCTTAAAAACTTTGTGATTAATAATTTAGTAATCTTTAAGTTTTGAAGTATTGTTTTTTAACATATTGATATGGAAATATCAAGTTCTAATAATTATTCGGTTAAAAAGGAGTATCCTCTTGAGATTGCCCAGATGGTGAAATTATTACTTCTGTTATTTCTTTTGTAATTCCTGGTGCCTTAGGTCTCATTAGACAATAATCACAAAATCACAGAATCATTAAGGTTGGAAAAGACCTTTAAGATCAAGTCCAACCTTCAATCCAACACCACCAATGGTACAAGCAAGGGGCAAAAAACGAGCACCAGTGATAAACATAAGATGCAGCCTTGAATGTGGTCTTGTTTCGGTTTTGTATTGTTTTGTGATTGCATATACATGCACTTTTGTCATTCTAATGAGTTTTGTATTTGAAGATTAGACACCCATTATATATGGGTGTATATATATACACATCATTATATATCATACACCATACATATATATCATACACCACTTTAGTGGTACATTTAGTGGTACAACTTTTCTTAGAGAAGAATTAAACATTTTGATGCAAATAAGTGCAATATTGATAATTTCAGCCAAGATGAAGCCTCTGTCTGGGAAATTATTTCAGTCTTTTATAGATGTGATCAGTCATTCCACCAAATAGGCAGCGTTTTCTCTATTGTGGCTAGCAGAAGACTAAATGTCGAATATTAGGCTGCTTTCCAACTCTTGGAATTTAGAGGGTGAATTAGAAATAGCACAAGAGAATTGTTCATGTACAAATTTCTTTGCCTGAATGAGCTCATGATTTCTTCTATGTTACACAGACAGCACAGGGCAAAGACGGCGTTGCGTGTGGATGGCTGCATAACCACATTCGGTAGCAGCAGTTCGGCTATTCTTCGCTTGGGAAAGGGGCAAGCAACCCTAGAAGAAGATTAGGAAGATTAAAACAAAAATAATAGTTTGGGAGACAAAAATAAAACCACGAGTGTTGCATATCTGTGAAAGTACCAGCTCTAAAAGATAGCTGAGCACAGACACGAGGCTCTGCAAATCCTTCTCGTAAAAAAAGATACTTGAATAATACCTGTTCACCTTTTTCTGTGAAGCAGGACAAGTAGGAAGGCTTCTGGGGATCTGCTGGGTACTTTTTTCTGCTTCCTTTGAAGAAACTGTGAGCATATCTTGTTGGACATCAGAAACATTCTGAGTTTTAAATCTGAGTTCAAGATTTGTAGCGCTTGTATTTCTCATAGTCAGAAACCAGGACCACTCCAGCACAAAGATTCTCTAGACTGTGCTAGTACTTTTTGTCTCAATAAAACGTATGGTAATTATGATCTGTGAGCTGGTTTTTTGTTAAATAATGTGAGGCTCGAGCACTGCTTTATGCTAATAATTTCCAGCCATCTTATGCTTGCTCTCTTCTTTTCTCTCTCTTTTCTCTTTTTGCCTGTGTGCTCGCTCTCTGTTGCTCTCTTCTTTCTGAGTGTTTTACAGAGCCTGGTAACATATAATACCGTGCAGGACTGGTGGCATATGAAGCCTGCTACACAGGGTTTTCCTTTCACAAGTCGCTATAGATATGCACCCAAACCATCCCCTACTTCAGGTTCTCTCTAGGTCTGCTTGTGCTGCCACGGAGCTAGAAATGATCGTTCACACAGACCTACTCGTAGTCTTCCAAGTACTTTCATGTTTATAGTGGCTTTTGACCTGATTTTACAAGAGAAAAGAATAGATGTTATTTTCTATTAATAAGAAGTTGTTCCTTCGAGCAAGTAGCTGTTGAGAAGAAGACACATCACTGAGCACCTTTTCTCAAAAGAGTTTCTACTTGATGGTTGATATGGTAAGAACTCCATTACATTTACACTATATTTGTTCTTCCAGAAAAAGGAACCTGTGATTTGAACAAAGAAAAGTGCAGAAGAAGAATCTGCAGGCCAGACTCAAGGACTCATCGGTGTAAATGTTCTACTGGCTTTATTTTAAGTCGAAATAAACAGTTTTGTGAAGGTAATATGCGAATCGCCCATCAGCTTTATCCAATCAGATGAAAAAATTCTCTGTTCTTTTACTTTACTCATATCTTGAGTAGGAAAAAAAACCTCTGAGATCTTAAAAATTCCAGTTGTGCCATTTCAGTTTTGTGTACTTCCAGGTACTGAAATAGTCTAAAAGGAGACCTATGAAAACGTCACAAATGCTATTCTTGTGGGAAATTTTGGTCTTAGCCTGAGTAGTTAAAGGAGCTTCAGTTAAGCAGACATGCTTATGGGGGTTTATTTAATTTTTAAATAAAAAGCTAGACAGATATATCAACAAAGGTGAAACACTGAAAAACCCTGCAGCAAGATGGCTGTCTTAAGCCCCACTTTCAAAAAAGACGTAAATTCTCAACATGTTTCTAAATGTTTTAATCTGGTTTGTTTTAATCTGGGTTTTTTTAATAAAAATCTAACATTACTATTAATAATAGTCTACATCTAATTTTTACAAGCATCTTTTTCACTACATGATCACATTTGAAAAGACATAAAGGCATCACAGTTCCTAGCTTACAGGAGCTACAGACCTGCCTGAGCAGCAGGCACCCAGATCTCGGGGAATTCACCAGGATGGCTTTCCGAATTTCAACTTCTAAACTACTTCTGTGTTTTGAGAATTTTACTTAAGTCATGTTGGGGCCCATTCTTCTAAAAGAATTTTTGTCTGAAGAAAGTATATAACGTATATTTTTTGGCTGCAGACAGGATTTATCTGTCACTGGAATCCATATGGGAAGGCATACTTTTGAAAGTCTAGGCACATATGCTGGACACGTGCAGCCTGAGTAGGTTTCGCTAGAAAGTGTTTAAAGCTTATTTGAATAAGGTCTGCAAACTCTCTTTTTCATCATTTATTAGGACCAACATATTTTTGTAAAACGAATGGGAAAAAGAAGTACTTCTTGAAGCCCGTTAGTTTGTCTCATTAATCTAATTCCCTGACAATGGTTGATGATGTTGTTGTGACACAGCAAGTGCTTCTTTTGGCAGATATCAATGAATGTGGTTTCTGGAATCACGGCTGTACTTTGGGCTGTGTGAACATCCCCGGTTCCTACTACTGCACCTGCCCAAGAGGTTTTGTTCTGCTGCCTGATAGGAAAACATGTCATGGTAAGTAGCAGTAATACATAAATGCCTCCTCCAGTACGATATTGGAGAGAGTCCTGATTTGACACTGGAACCGCTGAAAGTCGTGTGCGTTGCGTTGCTCGCTTCCAATCCTTTATTACGTAAGTAGGATCAGCTTAAACTGAGTGAACGGAATTCAGATGTCGTGTTTAAGGAAGTGTAAGTTACACGTGAGTAATCAAGTGCCAGCCTCTTCAGGAGGCAAAAAAAAAAAAGAGCCGGGTCTCTAGAGAGACCTCTTTGCTCAGATTAGGCTCTGTGGCACATTCTAGGTGGATAAGCAGTTATACCTTTTTAAATGTGGTCTCTGAATTTGGCTCACTCTATCTAACCTGCATAACAATTTGCACAGTCTCTGAATGAGCAGCTTACAACATCGTCTTTTTTCTCTTCAGGTCAGGGTTGATAGCATTGCTAATGTGCATGAAATTAATGAAATTAAATGCATGTGCGTCTGTTTGCAATGAGTAAGACACACAGAAGTACTCATAAAATCGATTTATTCCGGGGGACTGCTGTACTTGTGGTTTTTTGTTTTGTTTTGTTTTTTTTTCTTTTATTAATTAAATTGTGTGTAAGAAGTATGCCTGAGAGAACTTATCTATATGATGTAGGTACCTAAACCAGGAAGCTCTGTGAAGCTGAATAAATGTGAATAAACTAAATGCAGAGAACACAGAGAAGTGGAGGGAAAACCAAAGATCTGTCTGTCAGTAAGCTTCAAGAACCATATTTTAGTCATAGTAAGAGTCGGAGGTGAAAGTTTTTGTTCTCCCTTTATGCAGCATTGTGTATATTCAGCCTACAAATGAATTAAGCCTTTCTAAAGTAAGTCTAGAACATAAAATGTGAAATGCATCCAAGTTGTGAGATCTTGGGATATTCCCAGACACTTTTCTATTTCATAATGAAGTGAAACTTAGGTGTAAGCAAATGGTCCTTCTACTTGTTTCCATGGAATTAAAACGTTGGTATATGCCCCAAGTAGAGGTGCCAGTGTACACCAGAGAGCTCAGTCTGGACCATGGCAGGATCAGGACCTAGGGTACATTAAATATCGCTACTAGAGAGTAACAGAGTCTAACAGACTCTAGTAGTCAGTCTATCTATTTTAGACCTCCAAGAGTCACTTCTCCCTCTCTATTAAAAGGGAGCCAGGAGTAGGATTCAGTGACCCAAATGTGGGGGTCCAGGGTGTGTGTGACAGCTGCAGAAGGCAGCCAGATGTGTCAGAATACCTATGGGAGCCCTGCAGCCAGAGGCTATTGGGAGGTGGGATATCCTTTTGTGTGCAAAACAACACTTAGACACTATGCAACTCAGTCCTACTCTGGATAGAGTACAGCTTGAACTATATGCCTACATTTTGATTGGCTCAAATTAGATAGAAAATAATGTTTTTCTAACACAGGCTAGGGATGCAGCATGGACAGTATAACTCCTTAACCACTGCAGCACAAGGCAGATATGTCACCATCTACGCAGCTTGAGAGAGAGATGCAAGGTGAGAAGTCCACGTGCTGACCAGACACGTTGATGCTTTGTCCTCCAAGTCCTGCACCAAGCTCTTCATCTAAAGCCACAAGCTCTAGTCAGAAAGAAACAGAAGATCAGTTTCATGACCCTCTTCACTCTGCTTAAGGGGTTAGAACAACCCAGCCGGGAGCACAGCTGCCCTGCAGAAGCAATATTTGCAACAGCTATGCACCATTTAAGCCAGTGTATGCAGCTGATTCAAAGCAGCAGCTGTGGGAAACTTGCATTAGTTCTGGTCTTCCAGCGGGTGTTGCCATACGGCACTAGAATGGGCATAAAGGGATGCAGCACTGCAATACTGACGGTGGAAGGAGGATGGTCTGTGAAACCGCAGTAAAGAAATACTCAAAAAATCGTTGGCATTCCAACAATTATAATGGAAAGTAAAGGAAAGCTATTGCCAGCCTCAGGTGGTTTTGCCCCTACAACTTCAAAAATTGCCACTAAGGAACATAGCTATATTTCTCGAAGGTTCATCTCCTGTTTTCATTGATTCTAGCTGTGTTATCCTTGCAGTAGTAGGAAAGTAGTTTTTCCTCATTCTCTTTGTGTTTTGTACTTATTCTTTCAGTATAACTTCTTTGTAGTTTTCAAAACCTGATCTATTTTTTATGACACGCAAAAAAGAAAGTTTTCAAATTTATTTCTATTTTGATAAAAGATCTTCATACAAATTTGGAAAATTTAAAGCTGATCAGTATGATGGCTTCAGGACCCAGCAATTTTGGCTTTCTGCTTTGCTATAATTAGAAGAGGGTGCTAAAAAAATTTTGGGAAAAAAACCAAACCAACCAAAACAAACCCCAGAAAGACCACAGAAGTGTTGTACTGTCAACATTGCACTTTTAAAACATTTTTTAAATTTTTTTTTGTTATTTAAGGAAGTGTTAACATCTCTTTTGGGGGCCTTAGTAAAAATGTTTATCATAATTTAAGATTTCTTTTTTTCCTCTTAAAATTACTGTAGAGCTAATTCCCTGTACAAGTAACGACACTGAATGTAGCCATGATTGCCTTCAAACATCTAAGGGTCCTGTTTGCTTTTGTCCTGAAGGATCTGTACTCAAAGTGGATGGCAAAGCATGCACGGGTAAGTAACATTTTTTTCTAGCTGTAGTGCCTGCCAAATTCTCTTTGCTCTTGGCACTGAGAGCCAGAAGTGAATGATGGCATTTTACACCCATTTTGCACAGCAGTAAATGATTGTACAAGATAGGAGGCAATGGTATGTCAGGCGCTTTGAATGCTGAGATGAGCAATATTCATCTTCATTTTTAAATAGATGTTCTTAGCAGCAACATACAATGTTTGCAGGCCAAATTCTTTTGTTGTCAGCACAGATCAAAGTATTGCCCAGATGTTTGTTGCAGGAGACATCTAAAATTTATATTTGAGGGAAATAGAGGTACAAAATTAGGGCTTGGGTGAAATCTGAAGATGATTTTATTGGCATTATTTAACCCAGGTTCAGAGGCACTCTAATTTATAGCAATTTCATCTAATTACCCACAAATGGAATTTTTGCAGTCAGAATATTTGAAGCTGCTACACCCACTCATCTGTCATCCCCCATTCCAGCAAGCTTTCCAAATTCAGGGGACTGTAGCTTTTCAACGGTATCTTTCAGTCTTAGAAAGCTCCATTAATGCCAGTCTTACACTTTGAAAAATCCCCTTCTTGTTTTACATCCCTTACATACTGTGGACTGTACACATAGATTCAGTCAGTGTTGCTGTTTTGCAAGGGACACTCCACTGAGTAAGCTCAGGTTGGCATTGAGGCTCTAACTATTGTACAGCCCCAAGAAGGAAGGTTAGTTTCTTTTTGTATGAAATCTTGGTTTGTTGTATTAGAAAGTATCAATTCACCATCCTAGCCTAATTAACTTCTGGGAGAGAATGGCATTAATTTGCTGTTTCTTTGCATGTAGTGCAAAGTCTGATAAAATTTGTTATTCTGTTGTAGATGGGATGAGATTTGCATGGGAGAAAGGGTTCTCTGAAATAACGAGCACATGGAAGCCCTCTTTATATATTCCACTTCCTCCCCCCCATCCCATCTTGTGTTGCAGATTTCCAGGAAAAACTCTGGAATTACCAATTTGCTATTGGTTACTTTATAGCAAATTACCAATTTGTTATTACCAATTTGCTGTCCCTTCACCAGACTTCTGATTTCAGCAGGAGGCCTTTCAGTAAATCTATCAAAGCACTGAGGTGCTTTGCACTGTAGAAATCCCAAGCAGAGTGAATCGTTCTCTTGCTTTATGCCTCTGATTTTGTTGTATTTTTTTCTTAGAATGACAAAGTTAATATTTTCAAATGCTCTGTTTAAGGTTGTACATCTCCAGATAATGGTGGCTGTAGTCAGATATGTTCTTCTTTAAGCCCGTCCTCCTGGGAGTGTGCTTGTTTTCCTGGATATAAGCTTCAGCGAGACAGAAAGCACTGCACTGCTGTAGGTCGGTACCTCGGTATGCCTGCATATTTCTGCCAATAAAAGCAAAAACACTTTAGGGCCCTTTAAAGCAGATCGCATAACTGGGATCCATTTTTGTACTGCTTTTAGGTTACTTTGTCAAACTTGGGAAGTATTCGTTGTTTGGAAAAATAGACAGTTTTGGAAATATACCAGAACAAGCTCCAGTATGTGGTTCAGTCTCCCTCACAGAAGATTCAGTCTATTACCCAACTTCTGCATTTCACTCTGGGCTCCTGTACTGCAGAGGTCTATCTGCAGTATTCAGGTTTTTGTGCCTTCATATAAATGTGGGTGTAGTTTCTGCCCAGTGTTACAGAATTGGGGTTGAGGTGTCTGCATTTGGTGAACAAGGCATTTGTTTCAGGAATAAGGGAAAAGCTTTCTTTTTTGGAGGACAGCATTTTCCTTGCTTTTACGGTGAAAGGCTTCTCATGTGCAAAAGTCAAGTTCTGGCATTTTATGGTGATGCTGTGAAATGCAGAGGGAAGATTGTCTTGAGGCTAAGTCACTCTGAAATGCAGCGAGGCTAGTGACTGCCTCTATCACAAATTTTGAGGCTGATCTTGGGCAAGGCACTGATGCCGAAAACCTATATTCACATTTATCTCTGATTTCTGAGGCAAGTGAAATGTAGGACAAAGGGCCTTCATTTCTTTGTGCTTCTGTTCCTCATTTTGTCTTCTACTGTTACTTACAATGTTAGCTGGATAGTGATGCAGCCTAGAGATCACTGTGAATATATGTGCAAATTTTCATCGACAGGTCCTAAGCCATTTTTGTTATTTGCAAATGGCCAAGATATCCGCCAGATGAGTTTTGATGGAACAGATTATGCAAGTTTACTTGACTGGCAGATGGGAATAGTCTTAGCACTGGACTCTGACCCGGTGGAAAATAAGGTAAGGCATTAAAAACGAGAGGATTTTGAAGTGTTGCAAGGACAAATGGATTGGGCTTTCATGTGCCTTAACCTTCCTGCTGTCAGTGATCCAGATTACACGTTGTGCTGCTTGTTGTTCTGTTGCCTGTCTAGGAGCACAACTGGTACAGGATGCCAAACATTAGCTGAAGAGTTTCATCCTTTGCTTACGGGTTGTATGTGCTTTGTACATCGACATGGCTAATTGACAGAGAATTTGGACTTCTAAATTCACTTTAAGCATGATTTCAATTTCAAAGAACTTTTGTGTGATTGCAAGTTTTCTCCCTTAAGATTTCAGTACTGTTTTCTGGAAATATAGTGCGGGTTTTTTTCCACTGGGTAGCTGTAAAAGCAGCAGCATCTTTTTTTTTCTGTACAGCTACATCCCACGATCCCTACTAAAGGTAGGAGTAATCTTAACAAGAATTACTTCCCATGTCCTGACATTATTGAACAAAACTGCTGAACGCTCACGGGCTTTCTCGCTCGTACAAAACTTATTCCTCGTATTACAAGGTATTGCTGTTGGGAACAGGAGTCTTCCCTGCATAAAGAGCTCTTTGTGTGGCCGCATCCCAGTGCCCTGCTCCTTGCCCGCAGAGTCGGGAAGGAGTTCAGCCGTGCTTTGCTAAACCTTCTGTGGCAGATACGGTTATTTTTTTTCCCGACGGTGAGACCTATTTCCACTGTAAAAGTGTAACAGAAAGGTGCTGGATGGCACAGCGAAAGCTGCCGGGGAGCTCAGCTAAGTTGCCGGAAACATCTCACGGCCCGGACGGACACCAATGCTAAACCAACGCGGACGTTACCAGATCTGCGTTAGAGGGGGACCGTTTCGGGCACTGCTGGAACGCGGCCACTTGCTCCTGAAATAGGGCCCTGCTGGGGCACGAGCAGTTGTTCCGCGCTGCGCCGAACGTAAATCAGCTGCGCCGGTGACACCGGCTGCGCGCTCCGGCTCCGCTGCCGCAGGCG